AAAAAAAAAAAAAAAAAAAGTTAATAAATAAATAAGCGACTGCAACAAACTTTGGCCATTAAATGATTTATAAAAAATTTTGCATATTTTTTTTTTTCTTGAATTTATGAAAATTTTTTTATTTCATAAATTATTTCCGAAAAAAGTTATAAACAAAATAAACAAAACAAATCTTAGCAGTTTACGCGCATAAGATAAACGGTTCAAATGATTTTTCTTTTCAATGGCGGCGTATAATAAGTAAAAGTGAATTATTATTATTATTGTTATTGTTATTATTATTACTATTACAGCGTTTATGATTTGCATAAAAAGCATTATTTCTATAAAACTAAAATATGTAAAACAATGAATTGTTTTGTTTCTCGCTTGGCTTTTTTTCTACTTCGCATATTAAAATACATGTGAAAATGAAACGGTTAATTTAATGATTTCGTTTATCTTGTTATCATTTTTTTATTCTCTTTCAATAAACATCAATAAAAATACAATTTGCATTCAATATTGAGATTAAGAAAAGAAGATTTTCTTTACTTTATTCGATATTTAACATAAACGCATACGTACTTCAATTAGTGATTTAATTATAGATATATATAAAAATAAATAAATAAATAAATAAATAAATAAAAGGCAAAATGAATGCTGATATCAAATTATTATTGCGGTTATTTACGATGCTGCCGCTTTTAACATTGGTTTCACAATTTTGCGGTAAGTAATTAAATACTTGGAATCGTTAATGTAGGTTAATGCTTTTATGCTTTTGAAATAATTCAAATAAAATTCATACGTATGCTTGTGTGCGTGGGTACTTTCTTTCTTTCTTTATCTTTTATAGTGACATTAGAAATATATATATATATATATATATATCTTATATAGAAAGCATTGATTTATTTCATTCATTTAATATTTATCTCCCTTATAAGAAACTTTCTTTATTTTCGATTAAAAAGTAAATTTTGAAAAATTCTTTAAAAAAAATTTCGAAAAAAAAATAGAAAGAAAACGAATTAAAATTCTATATACAGGCAAGCGAACAATGGGCAATGAATTGAAAATTATTGTATAGAGTTTCGCAGTTTATTGTCGCGGGCGAATCTCGTCCTCGACGATGATAATTTTCACTCAGAATTTTTAAATATTACCGTCGAGAGCCAAGAAATCCTACGATCTTTCACATTCTATACTTCAAATCCAAATATTTATTATATTAAATTTTGATTTGCAAACAAACATAAATTAATTTAAACTAAAGTGCACACTGCTTACCCTTAATCTTCAAGATCATTACAGTTAGCAATAAAACAATAGAAATACTGAAAATCGCTAGTTTATAGCTAGCGCTGAATTTCACGATTTTCAGCAGGTGCAAATGGATAACCACACCGGAAGCGGCGTCTCAAGTGGTTACACTAATTGAAGCTGGCGGAGTCAATGCCAAACGGCACGGCACTACGATATGTACACCAGCCAATGGCTATACTCGATGACAAAGAAGTGCCCGAAAACATGTTGCAACTCAACATGATGACCTTCTACTTTTCACAACATCAATCACTACGAAATCCCTACGATTAAATGCACTTTAAATCGGGCAGCAGCCCCACGAAGTTAGAATGGTGGAAGTCAGCCAAACGAGACCTGACAGAGCATAGTTTAGAAACTTGGCTGAAAATGATTCCAGCCCATCGACAAGCACGTCGGTTGTAAGCTTGAGAATATGTAAATCGGACAATAGATCATTGGAAGGTAGAATTGTTACTTGGCGCATGTAACATGTGTCGTCATAATAATGATGGTCGGAGAAAAATCTACCGGAGACGCAGTGAACGTTTTGCATAACGCTGCATCGCTGAACGTGTCTCATATGGCGGTGGAGTTCCTGCATGGTTTCTGGAGGTATGTCGCTGGAAAACGAAAACCGAATCAAAGAGCCCAATACAGACTGTCAACCGAGCGGATTGATTTCCCGACGCTATAGCGAAGAAATACTGGAACAATACTTAGTGCCTTTTCCGGGATTTATCGGCGAAAATTTCATTTTCATGTATGACATATCGTGTGACATACAGTAGTGCGCCAGAACTTCGAGAAGGTTGATGTGGCGGTTATGGCACGGTCTGCTCGATCCCAGATCAGCTCGGATCATAATCTCATTGAGCATCTATGGGGCGAGCTGAAAAAATGACTACAAGCCAGAACGGCGGCATCCACGACTCTCGGACAGCCTCGAACCACAATTAAGAAAGAATGGAGTTTCGAGGTCAAGAGTAAGCATTGTGTGTTTTTCAAAAGCTAACAATATGTACTTAGGTTTAATTTAACTCATTCTTGCAATCGAAATTTAATCTAACAAACATTCAGATTTAAAGCGAAAATGTAGAAAGTGTGCGATTTCTTTGCTCTCGAGTGTAGATAGATATTTGTGTACAATTTACCTAATTTATAAGTACTTCTCGAATATATGAAGAGAATTCTTTAAACTTCATCTGACCCTGCCTACCGATTAAAAATATACTTTTTTATTTTAAGATTTCCAGTAATAAATAAATAGTGGATGCGTTTCGTAGACAGACGTGCGTAGCGTAAAGCGTTTCCGAATTTTATATGAATGTGGATTATAAATATAATTTTTACGAGCTTAAGAGGTTGTAATTAGAAAGGAAACTTTCCACCCATCAGCGAGAACAGCAATAAGCTACAATAAATTAGTCCTTTTATTTAATATATGAAGAATATTATACGCGTGTTTGTCCACTTCCTCTTTCTTGTCATCTTTTGTTCGAATGTTCAATTTTGGAAAAGTTCAGATAAAAAGCTCAGACTTGGTGCATAGCCAAGACGCTATGGAAGCATGCATGGTTTGCATTTCGTAATAGATATTAGTTCGTATTTTAATATTTATTATATATATGTAATATGTAATAATTTCTGAAATTCATTCAAAATATGATTTGAGAAGCGAATGTGATCCATCTGTAACGAAATATTGATTTGAAGGTCAACGTAAATATTTCATGCGGACAATTTAGAAGGCCTATACAGTAATAGGATTCAAATGCGTTGACACGCACGCATTTAACGATCTGTGTAGAACTCGTGAACAAAGTCGAATAAAACATCTTGTTTGTCGATATTTAATTTTAAGCATCGTAGCGTTTCCACGGACGCATTTTGCCTTTTACGTATTCTTACAACCTTCATCACTGATGACCCAGGTTATATTAATTGTTATGCGGGTATATGTAATACTCTGAAGGACTTAATCAGAAGCATTTTTTTAAATCAATTCAAGTTTGTCTGATTGTCGGTCCATGTGTTTTTCCATTGAATCTCCAAATCGCAATACATGGGACATTTTCAAGAAATTTGGTACAATGATGAGTTTTGTTCAAGTAAAAAGAACCCTATTAAAAATGGATATCGCGATACGAAATATTGGAACAGGGAAGTGGTAAATGTTTTAAATATCTTCTTGTTTAATCGTTCCCATAAAAGCTAGCCCTTGATGTGACAACATCGTCTAATTTTTCTTGCTTCGCAATTAGAATCGCTAGTTTGTATCATAAAGGTCTATTTATTGTATCCCAGGCCCTGTATAAATATTCTCATGAAAATTAAGCTTTTATATAAGCAATGGGTTAATTTATTAATGTTTTGTGATAAACATGAATCGATAATAAATAATAACTTTATGTAAAAGTTAACTATGCTTAGTTTGAACCATGTAGATCTATTTTTCGGACACTATCTCGTATAAGGGCACTTATCACAAAGCTCAGCCCTTATATGGCAACGACATTTTTTTCATATATTTTTTACGTTAAGTTTGCTTAATAGAGGTGAAGTTTGGTGATAAAATTTATTTAGTTAGATATGCTTTTTTTTTGCTTCTTACGTTTCAATTAGGAGGAATCTAAAGAAACTCTATCTCATAATTGTCATCATATCGCTTGCAAAATGAAATAGAAAGTTGCTTACATAGCAGCTAGTAAGCTAGTAAGTTTGTATGTTTTAACATATGCAAAACTACTCGCAGTAAAAGATAACACTTATATGGTAATATATATATATATATATATATATATCTATATACATGTATTTAATATAACATATACCAAAATGTATGGACGAAAGCGGTTTAAAAACTTAATTAATATGTAAGATAGTACTGCACCGGTAGGTTTGGTGTGTACATGTATCGAAATTATTACTTAATAATTATTTAATATTGAGCAAACATTCATACGCACATTAGAGTAAATAATAGTAGGATAGTTTTATTCGCCTTGATAACGATACGAGACATACTATCGACTTGTTTCAATTTATTTATATTGTCCATGGGTTAATTTTTTACATAGTTCCGGTTACTGATTGAGCCTTGTTTTGACTACATGTACGCTTATGATAAAATGATGATGGAATTTTTAAGATAGACCAATTTTTTATTATACCCTGTTGATATCGAATCATTAAAGTAAATTTATCTGTGTGTTCGCCCGTCTATCTCTCTAAAGTCTGTCCATGTAATCTTATGTTTAACCGATGTGCGTTGTTGTTCACATATTTTGAAGATAATGCAGGCGACAGGAAAGGACAAACCCTATTGAAAATTAATTGATTCGTATCACTTTTTCGATAACTTCCTATATTTCTCCTTTAATATCTAACAAAAAATTCATTATATCTGCTTAAAAATAGTATTCTGGCAATTTAAATTCCGAATGTAAAAAATTTAGATCGAATGTGGCAATTCTTTAAATCTTCTCCCATAGAATCGTTTCTACGAAAAGCATATAATCATATGATAATAAATGAAAACGCTATAGTTGGTTAAGTCCGATCTACACCAATTCGCCTAATATAATTCTTGATTAAATGCAAAAGTTACTCCATTTTCATATAAAGGCATTCATTCTTCTTATGATCATTCTTACGTGGGGGTGGGTGAAATTTAATAAATGATCTAAGCTCATTCATACGATGCAATTATTTCCTATTATAAATTAATTTTCATCATAAAATTTAAAAAAAAAATTCGACCTCTTTGCTGTATAAATGCTAAACTTTCATACAGACGCTTGTTTGAGGCAGGATCCCTAAAAACACATTATTCAATTTTAATACCAAAACTACTTATTATTTAGCGCAATTTATTATAGAAAGAGTGCCATCAGAAAATATTAAAAATTGCATCTTTGTTCTATTTATGAGAATCCTTATATAGTGTTAAATTCAAACCGTAGAATTGTGTGACCCAAATTCCATAGGATTAATTCCTACGTCAAATTAGTATTGTGGACCACATATGATTTCGAAATATTGAAAGTCACACCTTTTTACTATATGAAGATTTAGTTTTTATAGGTGCGGCTAAATGAGATGGCGGTCAAACAATTTTCTCATTGCTCAAATTTTAGAAATTGCAATTTTTTCTTATATAATAAGTTATAAGAGAAAGTCAGAAAGTCGTCCGATGCTATTCATTTTTAATAGAGTTCTTCGTTGAGCTAAAACCCGCCAGTTTATCAAATTTCATCAAAATATCTTACGGTTGAAAATAAGTTTAGATGGGTAAACATCAAGCGGACTGACGGACAGACAAAAACGGCAACTTTAGATCGATTCAAAAATTATTTCAAAATCGTTCAATGTACTAAAAGATGAGTCTATTTTAAGTTCTTCTATATGATACATACAATCGCACAAATTTTATATATCTTGGATCATAAGTAGGAAATATCTTTACTGTCTCTTTTGAATTTTATAAACTATTATAAATATTTCTTCATATTTTCAGAGAGTCATAAAACTATTGGTAAACTATTGCATCAAAATACGATTTATCAATCAGACAATATTGGAGATATAGTAAATGCTGTAAGAGAATCGATGCAGGAATATGAAAACTCACAAATTAAACAAAAACGTTCAAGGTATACTTGAAATACTTGTCCCTTATTTTTATAATAATTTTAATGGCTGGCTTTGCGTCCCTTAACGTGAAATAGATATAAACGGGCGGCAAAAAGTATTTGTTACGAGGAGTTGGGCTGTTTTGAAACTACCAAGGAATTCGAGTACTTGGATATGTTACCGTCACCGCCGGAAGAAATCGATACAAAATTCTATTTTTATTCAACGAAAAATAGATCTGATAGGCCTTTAATGGAATTACCATTTCTTAACATGACCGCGACCTTTCGAACACTTAAAACTTCTAATCGGAAAAGAAGCACAATCCATGACGAACTTCAAAGTACTGAAGCTCCAAATTTATCAACAACTCCTCTTTCAACCTTAGACGTTTTAAAGAAGGTTTCTATGTCTTTGGATGATATCGTTGGCTTTGATGAAATGTCTGTTCGTGTCATTGTTCATGGCTTCGGTTCGGCTTGTTCGCATGAATGGGTTTATGAGATGAAAACGGCCTTAATGGCGGTGGTAAGTAGAAATTTGGAAAGTAAAATTTACTTAATTAATTATTTATTTATTTTTATTTATTTATTTATTTATTTATTTATTTATTTATTTTTTTGATTTGTAATGTAATACATGTTCTTTCGCTTCTTTAGGAAGATTGCATTGTTATTTGCGTGGATTGGGAGAATGGCGCTAATTTGCCAAATTACGTTCGGGCAGCTACAAACACTCGCTTAGTGGGCAAGCAGTTAGCTATGTTAATCAATAATCTGAAAGAGCATAAAGGATTAAAATTATCACGCACTCATATTATAGGTTTTAGTTTGGGTGCTCATGTATCAGGGTTTGCTGGTAGCGAATTATCTGGCTTAGCTCGAATAACGGGCTTAGATCCAGCTGGCCCTCTTTTCGAGGCACAACATCCCAGTGTACGTTTAGACGGCGCTGATGCAGAGTTTGTCGACGTTATACATTCGAATGGCGAAAATTTAATACGTGGCGGTTTGGGTTCTTGGCAGGCCATGGGTCATGTAGATTTCTATCCAAATGGTGGTCGAGCGCAAACCGGTTGCTCTAATTTGTTTGTGGGTGCGGTCACCGATTTCATATGGCGTAAGTTAATCTTTTAATTGAAAATATCTTTCGATGACCTTAATATTATTTGATTGTTTGCGTTAATAGCTGGGCAGCAGACCAATCAAGAGGAGGGTCGTTCACTGTGCAATCATCGTAGAGCTTATAAATTTTTTATAGATTCTGTCGCACCACGTTGCATGTTCCCAGCTTTCCCTTGCGCTACCTATGATGACTTTTTAAAGGGTTTATGTTTTTCGTGCCCTCATAATGATGATGACGATAGGGATGTAGACGATGGTGTGCCACGTTGCGGTAACATGGGTTATTATGCTGATCGTTCACCGGGTCGAGGACAATTGTATTTAGTTACACGAGATGAAGAACCATTTTGCGCCCATCAGTTTCTATTACAAATCTACAACTCATTCAGTTATTTGCCACTACGTACTATAGGACGTCTGGAAGCTACACTCGAAGGAGATGTTGGATTAAATGAAACATTTAAAATAACAGAGTACGTTTTTGTTGTTGTTCATTTCATCTTTTACAGAGATATATGAGTTATTGAACTTTTTGTTTTTTCATTTGCGTAGGAAAGATGATTCTGAATTTTTCGCTGCTGAAATTATCTCGAAAATTATTGTACCTCATCCGGCCTTGGGGTTTCCTACCGTTCTGACTTTAAATTACAAACAATATAGCGGCTGGCTGTCGAAGGGTTTACATCATTGGGATATAGATAAAGTAGTGTTAACTGACACTTTCGGTCGCAGTCACTCACTGTGCCGGCCTTCGATTAGTTTAATTTCTAACTCACCAATGCGTATGGTTTTGCAACCGGGCAATTGTAAATTGGATAATCAGGATGAGTACGGTATTTCGACGAGTAAGGAGTCGACAAACATTTCAGACTCTTCCGTTCAAGAATCTGTTCACTTACCACAAATACATTTGAAATTGAAAGAAAATCGAAGTTTTGAATTATCATCTGGCGGTGATCTACAGTGGCAACCGATTATAGAGGGCAATTCATTGGATAAGGAGACAGAAACAAGTCGGAGTCTATCATTAGAGCAGGAGGAGATATTTGAACCGGTATTAAATGAGAAACGCTTGGCTGTTAATCGAGGGCGTAACATGCAAGATTATCCGATAACCGAAGAAATAATGGAACCGCTGCTAAAAGCTACAACACCTAAAATTAAAAAGGTCACGGCTACTGCTAGTGAACCATCAAATGCGGGACTTAATCAAATGATTGCTATGGTAAATCAAAAAAAATCCGAATCAACTAACGCAGTTGCTGGCACCATAACTGTACAATTATTTCCACTACGATTAGGTGAACTTTTAGAAAAAGCTGAACGCTATGCTAAAGAGAAACTTTTACCACTGATATCAGTGCAGGCGCCAAAATTATTTGGATTTAATTTCAATAAAAATGACGATGAAGATTATCTAAAATCGAATAATAGAAAGGCCAGGTATATACCACGTTTCGAAGAGCAGACATTTAAAAAGAATAGTTCCGATATGTCCGCTGATAAAAGAATGAAAAAATCGGAAAGTGCATTAACCGTTGCAACGGCGGAACAAAAAAACATTTTCAAACTGACGAGAGAAAGAGATACGAAATTTCTTCAACATCGTAAGGAATCAGAGCCTGCTGGAGACTCATCCAATAAAATTACTTATTATACGAGCGCAGTGTCAACTGTATTGCCATATTTGAAAGATGACGATCCGGAATATCAACCGATTTATATTGAATTACCAACGTATCGTCCTCCTAAATCTAAATTTAGTAGACCGTCGATGTTTTCATCTGGCTCTACAGAGAAAAATTTGAGAATCGGGTCTTAGCCCGAAGAAAGATATTTTTAGCATTCTTGGTTAAATCTAAGAAGCTTTATATCAAATTGCTAAGCAATTTGAGAAATATTCAAATGATATGTGATATATTTTTTATGAATTTAATATAATTATGTAATTTTATACAAAATTTTATGCATACGAGATTTTTATATCGCAGAAATACTAACCATTCTCTTTGAGGTTAGGACAAATTGAAGTAACGATGATCTTTGCATGCTTGCAATACAGCCTTTTATGTGAATGGTTTCGGTTCATGCGAACTGAAACGTTATTGATTTCCTCCATAATTTCGTTGCAAGCGTGCATCGTTTTAGAAAATGTCGGAAATTTTTGGGGGGGGGCGTAAGTGATTTTTTATATTGTATAGTATTTCAATTATAGATCTACTTTTGGATATCATATTACCTCTATGATTAGATAATGCGGATCATCCTTATATAAGGAACTTTTAAGTACGTGTGTTAGCGATTTTATGAATAAATCAAAAAAGTAGAAAAAAACTAAAAACATTTAAAAGAGACTCAGTCATCTGCTATACGCTCTTGGAAGCATAGGTGTAAATTACATGTATGTGTAACATTTTAGTTACACATACATGAACGAAGTGGAAGTATGCTCGTCATTTCATTTTCTTTCATTGTGTATGTAAAACCCGAAAAAAGACACTTCCCAGACCCTATAAAGCATATAAATTCTTGATCAGCGTTATATTCGGAATTGATTAAGTCATGTCTGTCCATCTGTATGCCTGAGTGATGTTTATTATTCGCACTCGCCTGATCGCAAGAATGAAGATATTGTCTTCAAATTTTGCAGAAACATTGGACGATTTTGCACGTAGATTGGTATTGAGAATGGGTCAAATTGGTCGGAGCAGAAGACCGCAGCGGAGCATAAACGGTACACACGGAAAATATTAAAGTTAGAAGGCTCCACATTCACTCTTTACGTGCGGAAATTGAAAAAATCATTTATGCCCGCACAACGTTACGAGAGATTAAACTTTATTTTTTTCACTTTTCTGAGGTTTTATGCTTATTTTCATCATAAGGCAAACAAGGCAGAATGTTGAAAACTATTTTGTACATGAACTCAAATGAAGACATATTATCTGCATAAAAATGGTTTAATTCTAAAATGAATATGATAGACACAGAAATTTGGTGGATTAATTTTTTCTTAACAATACCAACGATATAGATTTCAAATAAAAATCCTTTGACAATGGAATGTAAAAAGCATAGTGATGGATATGCAGTATTCGTCCCCCAGAATATAACTTTTTTACTCAGTTTCTTGTGAATCCCCTATACTTGGAACACGATTAGAGGGACGTCAACAATGGGAAAGTGATAGGATAATGACCTCAGCCTAGTGGAGTATGTGAGTAATCGAGTAAGGTTATATCGACTGAACACTGAACACTGAACACTGAACATTACTCGAGATACGACCAAGAATGGAAAGCCTATTCGTAGTATTAGCTAATACTTACCTTTGCTTTTCATTGCTGCCCCTAAGCGGTATCTTATAGAATTTTCTTTTTTGTGTGAATTTTTTTTTTTTTTGTTTTTTGCTTTTCATTATTTGTTTTTTATTCCTTTGCTTTCATTATCTTTTTAATTTTATGCCAAATGAATGTTAATTTTCTTTTACGCCACCTTTATTAAGCGTCTTTTGTTTTTCTTTTTTCTTTTTCTTTTTCTTTTTCCTTTTTTTTTTTTTTTTCTTTTCTTAATTTCAAATTATTATTGATTACACTTGTTCTATGGCTGCGGGTATAGTGTGTTTTTAAAATTCTTTTATTAATATTTCATCTTTCCGTTTTGGTATCCTTCTATATTGCATACACAGTAAATGTATCAAGTATTTTGGACTTAAGTTACTAAACAAGTTACTTGTACATATACACATATATTTATATATAAAGAATTATTATTATTATTTTTATTTAATGTATAGAATGGGCGATGTTTCTTTTTCTTTTTCTTTTTTTCTTCTTCATTTTTGTTGTTGTTGTTGTTGTTGTTGTTAATTTTTATTTATTTTTATTTTTTGTTATTAAATCGAAGAAAAACGAAGAGGCGTTTTCCGCTCACAACTGCTTTTTTTTTAAATATTTATTTGCTTTTTCTTTTTATTTTCGGTGTTAATAAAATTTACTTTTTGTTTGTATATTTAAACATTTAACCACATTCAAATTCATTATCACTACCTAAGGATGTACGCTTGCTTTCGTTTACGTTTAAAAAAAAAACGTTTTAAATAAAAATTGAAAACGAAATAAAATAAACAAGAAAATATTATATAAGCTTCGTGAAGATCGTTGAATACCCATCGCCACACTCAGTAAGCGATTGCATTTCGTTTTTGTTTTTCCTGGTTATCATTTTCAGTAGTTCTTTGAAATATATTTTCTCTGTCCTTTTTTTAATTAGGGCTTGTTGATGTATTGAATTAGAAAATTAATTTACTCTTTCTATATCCATTCTGAAAGATGAAATTGACAGTCGGTTAAATAAAAACTTAGTAAAAATGTGCTTATAAAATAAGTAAGAACGCTAGATTAGATCTACATCATTCCACAGACGACTGTTCAACAAAAAGGCCTCATTGAGGAAGTGATTGAAAAGTGGAAAAAAGTGAAAAAATCACGATTTTTACAGCCTATACGTACGGGCAGACGAACAGACGGACTAACAAACTTAAATCGAGTCAGAAAGTGTTTTTGAATCGATTGAATCTATCTGTTCTGGGGTGTTGCATACATTCACCTTAGATCACAAATGATGTAGCGTATAAAAATGAAAAAAAAAAAAAAAAAACAATAAACTTTCATCCTTCGGTAATGAATTTAATAACAACTTACAAGAGATCGGTAATGAAAAAACTCTACTTTCTAATAATATCGCGATGAAAGCCAGATTTATTAGTGCAATTTTCATCAAAAATGGAAAATACATACGAGTATATTGACCTGAATAGGTACGTTAAGGATAAAAGGCTTTGGACAGAGTATAAGGGAATAAAATGAATTTTGTATAAAAATTAATTACGGCAAATAATAGTATAGTTTGATAATAGTAGGCGTAGTAGTGATCGATATTAAGAAGTAATCGGTTGTCGGATTATAGTGCATTGTAATGCCTAACAGAGTTTATAACAGCAGGTCATATAATTTTTTTTTTGATTTTGAGATATTTTTTTACAATAAATTGAACTCATTCTATCAATATTAGATTTCGCTTTTTCGCAATAGCATCCCATTATACGAGAAAATTGTGCGAAAATTAATCTAGAATTGTAGGAGTTTTGCATCGTTATAGGTGTGGGTGGTATCGCATCAAATTGCAAATTCTTTGAGCACCTGTAGTTTATAAATATAAAAAAATTCATGCCCATACCAAATCATTCTCTATGATCGATCCATCAACTAATCTTGAATACGGAGTTAAGTTATTAAGTGAGAAATTTTTATTTTTTCATAAATTTATTGAAACTTTCTCTCGCCTGAGTGGCCAAGTAAACAATAAACTATCTCCACTAACAACTCAGTAGTAATGGGCTATTCAAAACTCAACTGCAGTAGAGTTTTGAATGAAGCCGATAGCCTTAGATGTTAATGCATTAAAACTTGAATCTTTGAATTTTATTTCTCTGGCTAAATTAATAATAGTAATAATAATAATAATAATAATAGAATTTCGACAACTTGTGGATCGTTTCGAGTAATGGGTATATATAATAAAATCGGACCTAGTTGAGGTGCGGCTAATACGGTGTACATATCTTCGCTGAAGCGAAAATTCAAAAAAAAAAAATAAATAAAAAAAATAAAAAAAATAGAATAATAAAAATAAAAATAACTAACTAAAAGTAAAACATTGAAAAAAGGAGTGATGTGTAACGCCAGCGTCACGGTTTATATTCTTCTTCATTTATTTTAATTAATGCATATAAATATGTATATGATTGTGAGATTATTTCAATGTTTTCATGTTCTCTTTAACTATTCAATTTAAAATCTAAATATTTTGTTTTTTTCACATAATTCATATATATTAATTAAGTCTATGCGTGTGTGTGTGTGTGTGTGTTTATGTATGTATATGTATATGTATATGTGTATTGTATGTAATGTTTCATATAGATTGGCGAGATAACAAGATAATAAATGTTAACATTTACTCGTATATATGTTACAACTCCTTTGCATGAGCAAGAATCGCATTGTGGAATACGATTCCGCTTGAATTGATTTTCTTTTTATTTTTTACTTTTTGTTTTCTATTTCGGTTACAAAAGTTTCTTGCGAACTCAACGCGTTCGGTTACAAGCCGATTTGATGAAATCACATCTTTAAATTGGCTACAAGAAGTTATTGTTGTTTTATGATCTAAATGCTTTGACTTGGTACATATGTATATTTACATATATGAAATGGCGTAGGACATGTTGTTGTTGTATTTACAATCGCATAATTTTCCATTTTAGAAAACGAACCCTTTCATTCATTCTTATACCTTATTATCTATATACTTCAAGTCTATCCTTTTGCTTCTCTCCTGCTCACCTTCTTGCTACTCTTCTTTTGATAGTTCATACAGCGAAACACTTCTATTGGGAGAACGGTACGACACGGTATGACATAGAAAGAAACGGAAAGCAGGAAACGAAGATACCTTACCCTCATAAAATAAAATAAAAAAAAAAAAAAATTATTATAAAATTCTTTTGGAAGATTTTTGCGACAAATTTGTTAAAAGAAAATCCTTAAGAATGTTAATAAAAATCAAAAAATAATATTTTTTTATTAAATTTGCCGGTAAATGTAAATTCAGCTAAAGTCGATTTTCAATCATTCAATATCTGCTGGGACACCAGCGAGTTCTATGGTTACTTTTATAGTATTTATTGGTGGTAGCAGTAGTTGTGATTGTAGTGGTTCCTAGGAAATATATCAATTTTTTATTTATTTATTTATTTTTTTTTATATAACGAGA